TCAGTGATGTGAATATGAAACCAAGGTATGAACTCCACAATCATTTTATGAACAGCTGACATCTGAAAATGCTGCCTGCTATACTCAATGCCAAGTGTTTCCTCTTTGCTTTCTCTGCATCACACTATGGTTCAGCCACACTGCTCTCTGCTGTGTCTACATGACAAACTCAGTGCTCGCCCATGTTTGCTTCAGTGTCAGTCTGTGAACTTTCTGACAGATATTAATGTAAACACCACCCAACAACAGGAGGTACATGCTCCAATTTCATTTGTCCTTTTTTTAAGATGACGGTGTAAAAGCTCAGTGTATCCATGAGTCTGTGCTCTTCTTCTAGACATGAAAACATGCTAATATCTTCCTGTTTCCAACATCGGCAATGATCTAATGGAGTCACCACAGTCAGCTCAACAAAGGCTAGTTAGGGCCAGCAGATGTGTTATTTCCAGCCATCGTACACTTACTTATCAAAACTGTGTTTCAGCGTCCATCTGTGGGGCATCTCGGCTCAACAGAAGAACTTCTCTGGGGAGTACCGACTGGCTTTTTCCCCGCAGAAGAAGAAACGCTGTTAGCTTCATGTTAGCGTTGACACAGCGCTGCTATCCGCACTTGACTGTGGCTAACGTTTCCCCTCACTGGAAGCCAACTATCTTATTATTGACTTACGCCTTTCCTAAAGACGTTCCCGTTAATCCACGAAGGAAGCGTTTAAAATAGCATCTGAATGGCAGAAGCCTGTGAAGACAGGATGTAGCTGCAGCCAATCAGGAGAAAGCGTCGCCAGTTGTTATGGTAAACATGAAGCGGCGAATTGGTGACTCTTGCGCCTGCGTCACTTTTGCGCCTCGACGAGAGGATCCTTCCGCATCTTACAGACATAATTAAAGTAATGGGCTGTAACACTGTAACTACGGTATAAAAACAGCGATCACATTAAACAGCTGTTACCTCATTTATCCTGAAAACACAATCATGATGTAAACAATCGTTTAAAAAAGGAAAGAAAAAAATCACTGGTAAGTTATTATTTTCAGGAAAGTTAATTTACATAATGCATAAGATTAAAATATATAATATTTTAAATTGTACTCAAAATGTTTCCCCGTCATTTTAAATACAGTGGCCAATTGACGTTGCCGGCCACATCTGCAGTAGGCCTTTATTTACAATTTAAATATCGCAAATAGCTCATTAATGCTATACATGACAATTTAACATTTGGTAAATGGACTGATTCTTATATAGCGCTTTTCTACTCTCCCGGAGTACTCAAAGCGCTCTATACAACATACATTTGAAGATTTATAGATTTCTGTTTTTTCCTCCATCTCTGCTCCCCCTCATTCTTCTGCTTCCTCACCTCAAGCCTCCTGTCTTTAATTGAAATCAAGGCTCTAACACAGGAAAAACACGCATGAACATGCTTTTTATTCTCTGGACAGATGACAACGAGATGGCTAAATAACAACAACAGGTGGTTAAAAGGTAACATTATGTCAGCTAGCTGGCTCCTAAGCATCACACCTCCCTTTGATAAACAGTCCTGCCATCATATAAAAGTTAAATGGTGGACTGACAACCTACACTTACTGCAGATGAATGGTGGCCAGAGTTGATTGTCCTTCTTCAGCCACCATACCTAGGATTATGCAGTTGAGTCGTGAGTGGTAAGAAAACAGAATTCAGGTGGCTACAATCTGTGTTGTTCAGTGGTGCATTATGGGTAATCAGCCTCTCACTGAACGTGCTCCTGTGATGAGCCAGCACATCATGGAATGGGTGGGAGGTATTATCCACCTCTCAGACACCACCCTAAGGGAGTCCAGCTCCGTCCCCACAGCATTACTGCAACCCTCCACCTGCTGCCCCAGCATGGCACTGGCCACAACAGACTGGTAAAAAGTCCTGAAGATTGTAATACTCATTCATAGACCTGATGCAGTAGCACCACTATCATGAAGATGATGGCCTCAGCAAGACACAATACAATCAACTCACACCTCACAACCTCCAAATCAAACAAAAACACTTTTTGTGGCAAGAAACTTCAGAGAAGTCGTCAGGCCCGTGTAAGCCTTTCTGCCCAGACAAAGTGTGCAGATGGAACACACTTGGTGATGTCTGCAAAGTTAAGTTAATCAAATGGAAAGGGAACAGTTCTCTTCCAGTTTTTTAGTGAAATGGGCAGTCTCCTTGTGGCCAATACAACATTGCATTCCCTTTTATTTGAACCCCAAATGGTACTGAGGTGTGAAAGCAGAGGAACCCAGTACTGGTACAGAGCCCAGCCAGCACCACGAGCACATCCATGTAAACACCAGCACCTCCCAGGAAAAGGAGGGGAGCTTACGAAAGCAACGTCTCCAGGAGGCTGAGTCAGCAGCGCTATGACAAAACTCTGTGACAAGCTGTAGTAAACAACACTGGGCTCTGTGGCTTTAAATGCTCCGAGCTACTGTGGTTTGCAGACATTCACTGTAACATCTGTGTGCTTTGGATTTGTCTTTTTAGATACTCTTTACATCAGTATTTCTGTTATTTAACAGCTCCTGTGCACATAAATAAAAACAATGTTGGGTTAAATGAGTTTTTATTGCATTTCCAGTTTTTCCTCAGAGTTGCTTGGATTCAGGGAAAATTTATAGACATAATTAAGTTACTAAAAATGTAATGCATGTGAAGACTCCAGTTTGGTCCTGGCCACTTTCCAAAACTGCAGTAAAAGCTATAAACAAGGCTAACTTCACTTATATTTAGAAAAATGCACTACATTAGAAAAGCAATAATAAATAAAGAGCATAAATAGAGGAATGAAAGTCATTATTGTTGAGTGCATTAATGTTACCATTTAAATAAAATGGCTAAAAAAATTTTAAAAAACAGATCGTTTTATGTTTAATATCATTAACTGAATATGTAAGAAGCCGTGGGTCACGAATTTTCTTCTAAGATGTGATTGTGACAGAAAAACACAAAGACTCATTTCATCATAATTATTATACTGAAATTATCTACAAGCAACTTCAGCCCTCATAATCCACCACTGTGGAACAGCAGATATGTGGTATTTAGGAATAAAGATTTATTGCTAAATAAACTGGCAGGAGAACAGAATATGGTATGTGATGCACCTGTTAAATGACACTGGTAATATAACACCTTACAGGACCGTCTGCTCCAAATCTAATAATCAGAATCAGGGACTGCAGGACCTTATTGTTCTAAGTCCTTTTCCTTATGTCACAAAATGTAAAGTCACAGCTTCCTGAGATTCTGGTGAATGCACATCTAATTAAATGTGTCTAATGTCACAACTAGGAAAGCTTTTACCGGAATGATATCAGCAGAATGGAGTTCCACCGGATCACAGCACTTAAATATAAGACAGTAAGATGTAATTATTTTTATGGGGGGAAACTATTGTGATGCAGTCTCTCTACAGCATTACGAACTCTTCCACCATATGAACATGACATCTCTGTGGACTAAACTGCTGCCACATGCTTTTTGTAAATGGCACATTCAGACATGAATCTTCACATACGCGTCACTTTGGTCGTCACAGATTCAGCAGAGAGAGAACACATTTGGAGCGCACTCTGAACAAACCGCGTCAAAGAGAAGAAAGAAAGAAAGAAAGAAAGAAAGAAAGAAAGAAAGAAAGAAAGAAAGAAAGAAAGAAAGAAAGAAAGAAAGAAAGAAAGAAGGCGGAGCGGTTTTACAAAATCCAAAGGAAAGTGGGGGAAATGAGAAGCACGTACAGGACGAAGCAGGAGAGAGGAGACGGTTTTATCTCGACTTAGATTCGGACACACTGGTTTGAATAGCACATTATTTTAATAGGAAAACACTGTACAGGGGAGTGTGACTGCAGTAGGGAACAGGAAACAACAGAACACGTTTTATTGCATTGTCAGAAGTATGATGCTGAAAGGAGACAACTGATCAAAAAGCTG